ATCAGTGATGGCTTGGTAGAGGAACGACGACGACGGTCCAGCGGCGAGACGGGTCGAGCTCGCGAAAGTGCTTCACTGTAAATTGAATTTTTTTTTGTATATTCTTCTTCTGTTTCTTGTTGTCCCCCTTACTGTAATCAAACGTCTTTTTTTTATAGCAATTTCAGAAACTAGTGATTTATGAAGGTATTCAAATTGTCTGTGATTTTAGTTCTAGATTTAATTAGGTTTTTCTGATTTAGGAATTAATTTAAAACATTGTCTGTAAAATTAAGACGTTATTGATTTTGTATTTGAATGTTGTTTCCAATTTTGTGTTGAAATGTTTCTATATTAACTGTGTTCCTTGATTTCGTTCATCAAGGTTGATGAACATGTTTTCCTTCCACGCGTGTGATCGCTACAATAGGTGTTTTTGGATCTGGGTCGCGTTCCTCTTCTCAGTCAATGTGTTAGTTTAATTTGGGTTGGGCTTGCTAACTTAGAAAAATGATTAAAAAAATGCTTTTAACAAATAAAATTAATAATTAAAAAAAAACACAGTTTTTTTTCTAAAAAAAGAGAAATGGGCCAGGTGTTCTGTTTACTGGACTTATTAAAAATAGAACAAACATTTGACAAATCAGTAATAAAAAAAAAAATAGTTTTCTCAAAAATGGGCTTGATGTTTGGGCTTGTACGCCTTCTTCTAATTCTCAACAAAGGTGTTTCTTTTTAAAACAAACATTTTTTGGATTGTATGCATTTGATTTGGGTTGGGCGTGTTACAAAATAATGAGAATTTAAAATAAAAAAACTTACAATAAAACCTTTAATGGGCCATGCTGTTTTTTGATTCATTGGGCCTCAACAAAAACAGAGTCATTTTATACATCAGAAAAAAGAGAATGAAATTTAAATGGGCTTCAAAAGATATGGATCTTTGATTAATTGCTACAGCCTCCAAGTAGACAGAAAACCTCCTTCTATATCTAAAGTGGATTAAAAAGTATATGGGTCTTAACCAAAACAAATTTGTTCACCTCCTTTGATTAGAAATTCACCTCCCTTAATTTGGAAAAGACTTTTATTAGAGCTTAATGGGCCATCGGATATTGATGGTCCCTTTTGGACTGTTACACCCCTCTTTGATTTTAAATATCCCTATAAGAGTAAAAATTAAATAATATGATTTATTTAAAGAAAAATTAAATGTAATTAAGGATAGGGAAAAATTGGGGTATGACACCTGCAAGACACTCTGATGTTTAAGTAAGTAAGAGTGCAGAGATATGTGAGAGAATTTAGGGATAAGTTTTGAATTAAATATTTAATATCTAACCCTCACAAGTGTGAGGGTATTTATAATACCCTTGGCGGTTGACCATCGGTTCCTATTATGGGGTGGACATCTAGAATTCAAGCCCAAAAAATAGGTAATTTCCTGGATTCCTGCATGAAAACAAGGACGAGCAACTTGTGCTCGTTATCCTGGGAAGAGATGCCTGAAACTAGTCGTTATCACGGACAAATATGCCCATAACTAGTCGTTATCGCAGACAGAGATGTGGTCAAGGGTAGTCGTGGTCTCGTCGACCCAGGGGTCAACCAACCACGCGACCCCGGCTGCAGGGAAGAATGGAGACATGCCCTCTGTTAGCCTTAATTAATTGGGCCAATGCTTTTAGGTCGTCCTGGACGCAGGAGTGGATTGCGCCGTGCTTAGTCGCTAGCCCAGTCCATAACACTTAGCAAATGCAAAACTATCATTAAGAAGACTTACCCTTACTTACACGTTTGACTTTATAATAAGAGGTAAATAAATGCAAAGATGAGCACACATGATCATTGGTACCAGAGTCCAATATTCGAGAATCAATTTTGTTGACTGATTTTGTAGAACTATTACAAATGATATCTAAGGTGGACTCAACATGTGAATGACATTGAGCCATGGTTGATGTAAAAAATTTGTTTGTGGTTGAAGTCTAAACTGAGTTAGCTAAAAAAATTTTAGATCAAGTAAGCAAGTTGATCATACCGAACTTGAGAAAGAGGAGCAATGTTGCTTGTAGAAGAAACCACCTCAATTTCTTCACTAGGTTGAGTTGCTTCATTGTCGTCAGTGTTAGCCAAGTTTTGATACCGTATTATGAACTAAAGATTGAACATTCTCAAACTAATTTTTTCATTTAATGAGAGATTACAATGTTCATATATAAAATCGGACCGAAGATTAAATTTATTTGTTTTTTGTTTTTTGTTTTCACCACCGATATAGTCTGTTTCGAGGGTCAATTCTAACATCAAGTGGTTCTTGCCTCCTCTCGATCGCAGTTGCGGGAGATCGTACTGCGATCCTCCCTACCAGGTTCTCCCTATTATCAATAAATGAATAAATTAATAGTATAAAATTATATTGAGGATTTAACATGCCGCCCCCCAAATTATACATGGCACCCCCCATATTTTATTATTCTCAAAATGCCCCTTTCACTATTTACTTATAAAATTTTTATATTTGTCAAAAAAACTACTATTGGTCAAAGTGGGTAAAAATTAAATTTCTAGTACGTTTAACAAATTTTTGATGATGAATTTTAGCGTATATCGAAATTCTTTGCATTATCTAAATTTCTGGTTGCGAATAATCGGAAATTTCAAAATTTCCTAGTGGGATTCATCGGAAGTTTTAAAATTTCTGAGACGATTTCCAAAAGTCATTACATAAACCGGAAATTACGTAAATTTCCGGTAGGTAGCATAAAACCGGAAATTTAAAATTTTTGGAATACCGAAAATTTCAGTTATACCTGAAATTTCTGGTATGTCTGCAGATGAAATTTTATATCTTTGCGGTTTAGAGCCGGCATCTTCAGCTTCTTCTACAGATTCATGTATTGATATTACACAGTTCTTCACCACAGATACCGTATGTTTCCTACTGAATTTACACATTTTTATTTGTTTTTCGACCTTAAATAAATTGATGAAGTTTACTAATTATATGTTGTTGTAATTGGCAGATTTTTTAATCCCGGTCTAAAGTTTTAGATTGGGCATATTCTATTGATAAAAAACATGGTATTGTTGTTGTTACAATTCGTTCTGATTCTGTTAATGGAATCCGATGAAAGAAATGATAAATTGATTATGGATTGTGAGAGAGAGGACAATCATAAAAGAAAAAATGAATCTAAAAAAACTATAAGAATCAGCATATACGAGTCGCTTCAAACATTGGAAAGATTTGTGTAGAAAGTGATTGTAGTTTTTTTTATGCATATATATATATATATATATATATATATATATATATATATATATATATATATATATATATATATATATATATATATATATATATATATATATATATATATATATATATATATATATATATATATATATATATATATATATATATATATATATATATATATATATATATATATATATATATATATATATTTATTCTAATTATATATTAAGTCGGTTAGCTATTTTATTGTATAAGTTATACGAGTAAAAATTTAAAAAAAAAATAAATAAATATCAGTACTATCAGAAATTTCAAATTTCCGATTGTTTTACACCTACCGGAAATTGGAAATTTCTAAATTTCCAGTACATACAAAAATGATATTTTTCGGAAATTTGAAATTTTCGGTACTAAAAATTTTAAATTTCCGGTTGAAGACATACACCACGGTAAAAAAGTGGTAAATTAAAAAAAAAAATTAATATTTGACGGGAACTTTATAGTAAAAATGTCTCTAATGAAGTGCCATGTATAAGTGGAAGAATTACATGTTAAATCGTCAATTAAATTATACAGATAAATCATACGCAATCATAAATTCACAACTTAATAAATTAAGTATTTGAAGTCTTACGCAATCATAAGTTCACAACTTAATAAAATATTTTAAAAATTCATTAGAAACTTAATACACTAAAAACATAAGTACGTTTTATTCTAACATTAATTCAAAAACAAATTAAAATATTATGATAAAATAAAACATAAGTACGTTTTATTCTAACATTAATTCAAAAACAAATTAAAATATTATGATAAAATAAAATAAAATATTTTAAACCAAAATTAAACATAGAATAACATAATACATAAAATAAATGAAATAAAATTCAAAGAATATAAAATAGAGTGATACTAACATATGTTCTAAGAACATATCTCAAGGATACTATAATTAAAAAAATTTAAATATAATTACATGTAATAAAATTTTGTTTAAAATTTCAAAACATTAAATATATTCGTTTCAAAAAAATATTTCTACAAATAATTTAAACATACTCATTTCAAGAAAATATTTCTAAAAATAATTTATTAACTTGTACTTTTAGAACACATGTTAACTTTTTCCTATAAAATAAGTTAAATAAAATTCAAACAATTCAAAATACCTTATAAATTAAATACAATAAAAAATAAATAAAATAATATAACAAGTCAAATCAAAATTAAACAAAAGAGTGTAAGTAAAATAAAAATAAGAGTAAATATTGTAGAATAATAATAATAATAATTAGTCAATTTTTTTGAACAAAACGGTTTTACAAAACCGATTATAATTCTTTGATTCAAATAATTTCAAACGATTCAATTCAATTTTACATCGGTTTTGGTCCACCAACGCTTTCACAAGGCTGATCGGACCGGATTTAGCACCGGTTGAATTAGTGAGTTTGATCTAATTTTCAAAACATTGTTTTAAATTACATTTTAAGTAATAAAATTTTAAAATAATCTATGTCATTAACACAAAGCTCCAAGGGAGTGTAAAACCACTCTCTTTTATAGAGGTTCCCACAAAACTTTATTGGAAGGTAAGTTTACAACTAAAACTACAACTTCACTAATTCTACTTCTAATTAGAGTTCTCATATATTTACTACAAAGTACACATAATTTTAAGATGCATAACCAAATATAAAACCTACAATACAACACATAATTACAATACATAACACTAGCCTGTGTTTTTTTGTGTCTAGCAGTTAATTCCACACACCTCAGCTTTAGGACCAGTCACTCTTGTAGTAAACGGATCAACTCGAACCCATAATAGCGAGAAAATGGACGCCAAAAGAATCGACCAGACCACAACAATGGTCGGTGTTCGATTCTGGCGACCCATTAGACCTTTAAGGAAAGGGTAAAGATGAACTATAACCCAAAACGCAAAGAAAAGTTTACCGAATAGAGGACCCCATGATTGGTAGCCACTGTTAATAGCGTAGGATATACCGGCAACAACTCCTACCAAGTTTATTATGAGAAGTGTTGTTGGAGGAATGAGAAGGGTCGTCCATTTGAACATGTAGAGTTCCGCAGAGTCTCCGTCTTCGTCTGATGCTTTGGAGGTGACGGTGAAGTTTGTGTCGATTCCGGCTAGCACTTTTAGTAGACCTTGGAATACGGCAAAAAGATGCGCTGATACGCCACCGATAACCCAAAACTGTTCGTTTCTCCACCACTCGTCTATTCCAACACCGCTCCATCTCATCTCGAGGATTCCCGTCGCGAAGATTGAAAGAAAGAGAGAGATAAACCATATACTCGCTAAGTTACTAATCTGCAAGCAAAAGCAAAATAAACTGAAGTTAGATCGTTAAGCTGTGTGTTACATGAGATAAGAAAGCGGATTTGGATTCTAAATAGCCACGCATGCGTTCTTTCACGCAGTTGCGGATCGGATCTCGGCGACTGGAGTAAGAAACAAATAACAAACCTGAGGAATGATAAACTTGTTAGTAAGAAGACAGACAGCTGGCAATGTACAATACAAGAGAAGCGGAATGGCGGTGACTGGATAGATTGTGGTGTTTATATAGGCAAGTCTCTCGAGCCACTTTAGTCTTCCACCATAACCGTACCAGATGGGACAATGTCGGCTGAAAAGAATCTCGACAGAACCTAAAGCCCATCGAAGCACTTGATTCAGACGATCTGAAAGATTGATAGGAGCAGAACCTTTAAATGCTGGCCGCGTAGGCATACAGTATATCGACCGCCAACCTCGGGCATGCATCTTAAATCCAGTTAGAATATCTTCTGTGACCGAACCGTAAATCCATCCTATCTGTAAACAAAAAATAAAACAACAATTTAGCTTTTGAAATTGAAATAATCACATAGATGCAATCATGAAAGTGGACTCACGACACTGATACATGGACACCGATAATATTTAAATGTAAACCACATGTGCTGGTGTCGTTTCAGCGTCTGACACTGACACATGTCGGACACGCCTTCTATCGCATATGTCAACGCCTCATAGAATATAATTCAACATAAGATGACAAACACACCTCTGTTCCCCATTCAGTTTTATCCTCATAACCACAGCTGATGACATGAATAGCTTCCTTTAAAAGAGTTTCAGGAGTAGCAGACTGAGGAACTCCGCCATTTTCCATCAGCGTAGACGCAACAAAAACAGCCGACTGACCAAATCTTTTCTCAAGGCTCACTTGTGACATAAGTAGTGTTTTCTCATCATCAAATCCACTACCTAAAAAACATATCCATAAGAGAAGAAACTCGAAAAATCAAACACTAAAATAGTTAGAACGGTGGAACTATTAAAGCAAGGATCACAAGCCTACCTTCGACTCCTTCTTCTATATCCTCCAGACTGAAGATAGGCACAGTTGAGTCGACATGCTTGCTAGACTTTTTCTTGTCCGATCCTTTCTTACTAGACTTTGAACTCTTCTTTCTATTTCCACCACAGAGGGATGATACAAACCCGGCCTTTTTATGCTTCAGTTTTAGAGGAGGTTCGTAACCGTATAAAGCTGTCCTATTAAAGACGCATCCAGTACCGACATAAACAGGACCTTGAATGCCATCCAAACCTCTCAAGTTTATCTGTTCAGGAATAAACATTGCATATCAAAAAAGGCTAAATCATGCATAGGGCGCAAGAATAAACAGAAACAGAAATCAGATAACATCAAAATCATATCAACATGGTTAAGAATCGATGCTTACGTCAAAGAAAACAGTATTACGATTAGCATATCGATCGTTCCTATCAATTCCATCAAACCTCTGTGGAAACTGGACATAGCAAACATGTTTACCGAGGTTAGGATCCATCATAAAGCACATTGCTTCTCTTATGGCCTTGCTGTTGTTTATATAGTGATCGCAATCAAGATTCAATAAGAAAGGTCCATTCGTAAGGACGGCAGATACTCGAACCTGCAAAAGTTAGATTAATTACAAACTGTCTAAGAATATTGTGGAGATAAGTAATGTATATATCGTCTATTGAAAATGACACTCACAAGCGCATTCATGGCACCGGCTTTCTTGTGATGTTGGAAACCTGGACGCTTTTCACGAGAAACATAGACTAAACGTGGAAGTTCATTACCGTCAGTATCAAGTCCTCCACTTTGGCCTAAGAAAACCTGAATCATTCCCGGATGATCTCTTACATTATTTCCAGGCCACGGCGTTCCATCTTGCATTACCCACCCTTCTTCCGGAACTTTCGTTGCCTTTGCAACAAGTGCATTAATACGGATTTTAAATTCTTCGTACTCTCTCTGAAAAGTAAAAGGGAGGTAAAATTAAAAGATACGGTGATAAAGCTCAACACTCAGGCAAGTAGCATAAGCATGTCTCGATCCAGTTGCGCGTGCGTCAACCTCTTACCTTCATTGCTCTACGATCCTTGACAAACGATGTCTGAACCTTATCTTTCAAGTAGTCAATCTTCTGCGCAAAGTACCACTCAGGTGCACGGGGTTCAATATTATATTTCTTGCTGAAAGGAACCCATTTTCTTGCAAACTCAGACGTCTCAGCAAGAGCTTCAAATGTCAACATCGCGGCACCATCGTCAGAGACGTAGCAGGAGACCTTATCCACTGGATAGTCAACTGCGAGAATAGAAAGTACGGTATTCGCAGTCACAAGTGGAGGTTCCTTTAACGGGTCAACAGTGCTGACAAAAATGTCAACAGCTGCTAGTTGAGACGGTTCTCCTTCCCGGTCATATCTACAACACAGTGGATTATGTATCCAAAAATATAACAGATTGAAAAATAAAAATAAAAAATACAATTCGTGATGAAGTTTGAAAGGTTGTACCTCAGAGCGAGTCTGTCGAGATATGTGTCGCGATTGACAGGAAGCCACTTAGGGAATTGATCCAAAATCCATGAGACGGCAAACCAAATCTCACATATAACTGATACCAACCATAAAGCATATGCATTTCGCACCGGATTTGTTAATCGATAATGCAAGAAAATGCAAAGAACAACAAGTCGCAAAACAATGACCATGCGATACGGATTTATTCTAGATGACGGAATTGAAACCTTCCTGGAAAGAGGTTGTCGAGCTTCATCATTCCTGCATAACAAAGAAAGTGAGCCCATGCACAAAAGTTTTATTGAAAGATTTCGGTTAATATATATGACATTGGTAGTAATGGAAATACTCACAACAATGATTCATCGCCAAATATATCAGATCTGGCATCAATATCTCCAACCCCTCTTTCAGAAGCTGCTTGGCCTGTGCTCATTGGAGCAACATTCTTTTCGGGCTTCATCTTCCACCCATCAACTCTTTCTTTCCATGCTACATTGCTTAATCCTGCGTCCACAACCCTCATATTTGCTGCACAAGAATTAACCAAGTGTCTCAGATCACAATCCAACAGCTAAAGAAAGAAAAACAAATAGCTATCATAAGAAATGAAAATGAGCATAGTAAGAAGAGACGGAAACTTACGAGATTGATTAACATCAGATGAATATGGAATATTGAGGACGCGCTTCCCCCCACCAACTACGGGAGATGACATTGATAGCCTCTCAGGCGAGGCTGCAGAAAACTCTCCAGACACCTGAAATCGAAAAATATTCTAAATTTCATTCGGAGGCGCGAAAAATGAAAGTGAAAAGCTATCATTTTGGAAGATAATTGAATGACCTCTTGTCCATTTGTCAGTCGCGGAATGTGATTGTGAGAAACATCCTTATCATAATTTGGAACGCCAACTTCTTCTGATCGCCCAAGTGTCAATTGCCACCCCAACATGCGATCTGAAATCTTCTGCTTTTGGTTTTGATTTTCCAATTCATAATTGAAGTCACTAACACCATCATCAGCACCTCCATCCACTTCGCTGTCTCCAATTATCGCAGGACTTCCTGGAATCAATAAGTAATTTGATTACTAACGGAAATACCACACAAGTATATACGATATCTTGTATCCGGTTTCATTTACCTTTATGCCTCTTGTATCGGGTTTTACACTGGGGACAAGACTGTTTCCCGTCCTTCCTTTCATACTCATAGCAAAGTCTACAAACAGGAAAAGCACAAAAATCGCATGCAATGAAAGGTTCGCCATCAAAAGTCTTCCCAACATTTTCTGCACAAATCTGGCATACTTGAGCACTCAATGCTGCCATTGGTTTCCCCTAAGTAATTAGAAATGAAATTACAAAAAAAAAGAAAATTCAATAAGAGATCAAATAGTACATTAACATTCAAGTAAATTCATCAAAAACTACCAAGGTTTTAAGAAACGGTTCGTTAAACAGTCGCGACAAAACGGTACCGGAAGGGGGCTAATCCTATTATTCACCATTTTTGTAATAAAAAACAAATTGTGGTTAACTAACACCCCGACAACCGCAATCAGGGACACAACACCGCTACCGACCGAAAACACGAAAGGATTTACGCGACCGCACCGTTTTTTAAAACATTGACAACTACACCTCAATAGCATAGCATCATAAAACATTTCAAGACATCAAATCAAATTAAAAAGAACTCATTCTACTCACCCCAACTTCCTCTTCTGACTCCATGGTGAACTCTTGTTCAGCTTCCTTTTTTTCTCTGTATAATTTGAAGCTTTGATCAGTTCATAATAACTCAAAAATTTATGATTAACATAACAAAGCATTTTCATCATCAAATACAACATTAAAAAATTATTATAAAATAAGAAGTTTCATAACAACATTTATTTCTCTACTTTATTACCAACATAATATAAATTTCACATTCACACGAAACTTACCTAAAAAAACAATCTTTTCTACAGGCTTCCCTTGAATACAAAGAGATCACTGAAAATCTGAACAACCCAGATGAGATTTTGAGTAGTAAATGCAAATGAACACAAAAAAATCCCAACTTTATAGTTTCCAAAAGGAGAAAGATAGAGTGAGTGAGAAAAGAAAGTGAGAGAGAGAGAGAGAGAGAGAGAGAGAGAGAGAGAGAGAGAGAGTACAGAAGAAGAAGACACTGAGTTTTTGTGGTGTGATGATGTTTATGTGAGTGTGTGTATAGCTGTAAATGAACAATGAGACAGAGAAAGAGGAAGCTTTGTGAAGACGAAAGGGACAAATGTCACAAATCCAGCTTTGAGGTACACAAAGAGACACAATGTGATTGTGGTATGAAATAAAAATGGTTTTGTTGTGTATGTGGAATGTGTAACACACACATCACACGCACAAAAATGTTAGTTTTCATTTATCCCTAACATTTATTCTTCACCAACTAAGATTGAGTTTAATATAGTGACTTGGACTCTTCAATTTAGCAAAACAATGTTTGAATACTCAACTGTACTCATATTTAATTCTATCTCTACCTTATAAGAATGATGGAAAGATTTTAAGCTTAGAGTAATACATGATATTAACATTGTCCTATATCAAAAATATTTTTAAACTGAAATAATTAATTTGTAATTAGGAGATAAAACATGTGAATGCAAATTTATTTTCAAAAATTGTACCTAGGTTGAAAATGAATCAACTCAAATTGAATTTGCTTCGGTTTGACTCGACTTATTAAAAATTAGTTCAGTATAAATTTCAATTTGATTTTGATACACATTTTTTCTTTTTAAGTTTAAGCTCGATTTGTTATAAATTTATGAACAACGCAGTTGAATTCATTAAATTCATTTCGTTAAATTCAATTCGTCAAGTGTATTTTTTTTATATGTTTAACATTTTAAATTAATATTTTTTAAATAAAAATATAAAAATAAAATAAAAATTGTAAGATTTGAATTTTTCTTAGAAGATATTTTTTAAAATTAAAAGAAATTTAGAAAGTATTTTTTAAATTAGAAAATATATGTTGATTTTTAAATTATTGTTTAAAAAACATAATATATATATATATATATATATATATTGATTTATTAATATATTTATTTTTAGAAATATTTTGCTCACTTGAGAATATAAATTATTAATTAAAATTGTTAGATTACAAGAAAATATAGGACTAAGATTTGGAGTAAATCTTTAAACTTACTTTTAAAGATAATATAATTCATTTCATATATAATCGAGTTGACTCATGAAACTAATGAGTCGAACTATGTATAGTTCAAGTTCAACTCATTTAGTTAATAAACTTAGTTTTTCGCTCCTATCCAGCTCATTTGATTATGAACTTAATTCAACAATTTAATTGTCGAACCAAGTTTTAAACTATTTTCGAATTGGTATGATTTATATATTTTTTTTCTTATTATTTATTGTTTAATAGTTATGATAATAAAACTTTATATTGCATAACTTATATTGATAAATTTATCATTGATAATTACATATTATTTTATTTAAAATTATCTAAATTTAAATATGAAAAGTTGTTAAGGTAAAAAATAAGTAATATTCAAATAAATTGTAGATATTTTATATTGTAATATCTTTGAAATTGATTAGCTAATTAATAACTATTTTAAGTTTTGTTGTAGAAAATTGTATGATTTATTATAGAAAATGATTATATATTTAATGTGTTAGGGAGTCTGGTGAGTGCAGAAAGTGCCAATGGGTTAAACGTTCATGAATACAAGAGATTTTAACACCACATATTCACCAAAAATCTTAAGATAATAGGGGTATGAGTCACTCTCTTATAAATTCAACATCTCATTCATTTTTAGTCTATGCGTGACTTAATCACTCACTCTTGAATCCTAACAATCTCCCTTGCAATTGTGAATTACCTAGATCATTAGTATTGATCCACTTCCGTTCCTCCATCGAGCCAACTCGGAAGTGTCAATGAACTAAACATTCATGGATACAAGAGATCTTAACACCACATATTCATCCAAAACCTTAAGGCAATGGGGGTATGGGTCAACTCTCTTATAAATCCAATATTTCATCAATTTCTAGTTGATATATGACTTAATCACTCATTCTTGAATCTCAACATTCTTCCTCACAAGTGTGAGTCACCCACATCACTAGCTTTGATCCATACGATGATCCACTTCTGCTCTTCCACCGAGTTAACTCGAAAATATCAATGGGTTAAACGTTCATGGATACAAGATATCTTGAAACCACATATCTATCCAAAATCTTAAGACAATAGGGGTATGGATCACCTCTCTTATAAATCCAACATTGCATCCATTTCTAGTCGATGTGCGACTTAACCATTCACACTTGAATCTTAACAATCTCTCTCACAAGTGTGAGTCACCAACATCACTAGCCTCGATCCATACTAGGATTCACTTCCACTCCTCCACTGAGTCAATCACGACTCTGATACCACTTGTTAGGGAATCTGAGGAGCGTGTGAAGTGTTAATGGGCCAAACGTTTTTGGTTCCAAGCGAACTTAAGGCTACATATTCACCCAAAACTTTAAGGCAGTGGAGTATGAGTCACCTCTCTTATAAAGTCAATATTTCTTCAATTCCTGGTCGATGTGGAACTTTATTACTTTCATACTTGAAACTCAACAATGTATTAATATTTTCCATTTAAGATATGAATGAATTCGGTTGTAAAATGATACTAGGGAAAGTTCTACTAAAGTAAAAATCATATACACATTCACATATTATATGGGTTATGTTTTATTTTACTTTATTCTTTGAGATGAGTGAGTTTGTCCCTAATATATTACAATGATCTACCTATATCTCTCTATCTCGTGAAATTTTCTATAAGTTTCATTTTGCATTCATTTCTTGCATGGAAAATATAAAAGAACACATTTTTTGTCATTTTAGAAGAACAATCATGTGTATGGGAGTACATAGAACAAGGGGAAAAGAAGTCATTTAATGGGAAAGGGAAAGGTGTAATTTTCATTTATGTATGAAAGTTTTGTTAGGCGAAGGCAACTTATCTAGAGGGGATTGAATAGATCTCAAGTTAAAAATTTCTTTTGAAAAATTAGTTTTGAAAAATTTGTTAACTATGACAAGCGAAAAACACATGGATCAAATATCGTCTAATCTGAAACGTTATCGAAAAGCTCATATATGCGTTAAACCTATTTTATATGCAATGATAATGATAATCAACGGAGACAATATATTTCTACAAACAACACATTTGAATATGAACACAATAGTAACATGTTTCCAATAAATTCTAAAACAACAAACACAAAGAAATAAATTATCTAATACTTGGTGTGTAATTGATGTTGGTCAGGTTTTTCTTATTGTTTTATTGATTTGAAAAACCAATATAGTCTTATAGATTGTAATCAACTTAACAAGACATTTTTGAATTTACAAAAGGTTTATCTAAATATGTCAAATGCACAATCAACGAATTCAATAATTTTCAATTGAAAATAAATGAGATAGAGAGAGAAGGGACACGAGGACTTGTTTAGGAGGGTCCTTAATCGGCTTCGCTATGGGTATGCATGTCCCTAATTTCATTCAGAATTGAGATACTGAAAATTAACATTTGCAAAATATTGTTTACAAGAGAACAAGTTGTGATTCAATAATCCAAACCCTAATAATGTTGTTGATCCAATATTCTTCTCTCCCCTTGATGAGAGCACCTTTAAGTGAACCTGATACTTCTAATTTGATCATCTGTCTCACGCTAATCCTTTGTAAGAACCCCATTCTTCAAAGACTTAACTCGACTAAATCTAAATTGTGAACATATTGTGACCCAAGATTTACCAAATTGGTCCTCCATCTCACGTTGCTCCTTTGACCGAACCCACCGCTCTTTGAAGTTTTCACTCGGTTGAATCATATTTGTGTAATCTTGTCCAAAACCTTAAAATCACCAATTAATTTTGAAGGAAAACGCCAACTTGGTTTTCTTGTTTGAAATCCCCAGAGAATATCAACTCAATTTACATTTCAACAACCTAAATGGGATGTTATCAACTCTAAATCTAGATGGAACCTAAACGAAGAATGCTTATGTGTAATTTGTTTGTGTGTGTGTCTGATACGGTGGCAGAACCGACCGTTTATATATTGGTTTTGCGTTTTTTGTTTGCAAATATGCGGTAAGCAAGAGTCGACACCATCTTTTATTTTATCCAACAAAGGAAAGGGTGAAAAGAACAGAAAAAGACCTTTTCGAGATGTTTCTGAGTAAGGGGGTAGATTATGGAAAGTGAATGTGTTAGCACTCTTTCCATCTGTGGTTTTCCATGGGCTCTTAGAGGTTTTCTCATTTTGAAATACCTTTGTTCTTTGTGTGTTTGAAAATATTTTGAAAACGCCTTAGTATGGCGAACTTTGTAATGTTTCTCGGGATAGTAGAGAAAATATACAAAATGTTTTGAAATGTCTTTTGAAAAGTAGTTTTTGTGTAAGTGCAAAAAAAATAGTTTTGAGCAAACTTCTAACAACTATCTACTTTGTACTAAAAAAGGATCATTCTTTTCCTCCTATCCTTTAGACAGTGCTATCCTACTATTAGTGAGTAGGTAGCCTTATCGTTGGATGTTTTGAGGGACATTTGAAGGAACGTTACAGTCACGAAGGCAATTATTAGAAACGCTTTAGCAATGTTGTTTTTAAGGACTAGATCATTTACCGAGAA